GGCCGTCGACTGGGATCCGCTCGGCGACGGCACGCCGCTGGTGCACGCGCTGCGCGTGGCCCGCCTGCCTGTGCATGCCGCGCACCGGAGCAACCTGCTCGAGGCCGTGTGGCAGCTCGTCGAGGCCGGCGGCAGCCTGAGCCCCCCGCCGCACCATGGTCCCCGGACAGCGGCCGCAGCCGCGGTCGTGTCACGCCCTTTGTTCGCGTACAGGGGCAAGCCCATACCCAGGGCGACCAGACGGGTAGGAATGCGTCCGACTTTGCTGAGGTGTAAAGGGATACGTTTGCGCAGCAAGTTGGCGAGGACGCGGGGAGTAGTTGGGCACCAACAGGCACCGACTGCCGAGTACTGCAAGACGAGAGTCCGTGGGGTTCAAGGGAAACCAGCAACGAGTGAGAAAGGGATCAAGGTTAGAGGAGGGGAGGATGCAGAAAGCTGTTTGTTGGAATGCAATACTCACAGTGCCTCAAGTAGAAAACGATTCAGGGAAAACGATCATCAACCGGATACAAGCAACAAAAGTAATAAGATGCTGGAAAGCCAGAAGCTAGAATTACTACAATGAAAAGAGACATCGTGTACAGAGTACCTCCCATATTACCCAAAAATTGAAAGCAACAAATAAAAAGGAATTATGCGCCCCATGTCACGTCGCTACTCCTGTCCAATCGACAAGATGATATTCCCCGACATCTCATCAATCTTCATCGACGAGGAGCCCTCACCCTTGTGGCCGGAAACAGTCTTGCCAACAAAGCCACCTTTTTTCTTATCCACAACGACGTCCTTGCCGCGCACGGAAATGTCCGAGGACATGGCATCGGCCGAAAAGGTGCCCTCCCAGGATGCCGGGTAATAGAGGTGCAGGTTGCCGCTAATGGACGAGTGGCGCGACTCCAACGCCGTCAGGCCGCGCGCATTCTCCGCCATGCGGCGGCGCTTCGTCTCGGGATGATCCTTGCCCTTGCGGTCTTCGGGGAGCGTGGGCCGCTCAGGGGGGTTCAGTTTATCGGGAATGGCGACAAACTGCGGGTCGGCGACTTGTACGCGGTGGTTGCCGCTCGTCGTCTCCGTCTTGAGCAGCGGGCGCCAGCTGGAGTGCAGCCAGCGCTCGTCGAGAACGGGCACCAGGTTGAGCTCGAGGTCGCCTGAGACGGAGGAAAACTTGGACGAAGAGCCAATGAGCAGGTTGCCGGTAATGCCACCTGATGTTGTCGCCAGCTTCACGAGGTAGTCACGGGGGGGGATGTTGAAACTAGACGCGCCCGCGTCCTCGCTACCATCGTTGAGCTTGAGATCGCCCGACACAGACGAAAAGTCCAAAAGGGAGGATTCGGACGCCTCGAGCACAACGTCTTTGTGCGTAATCTGGGCGAAAATGTTGCCCGAAACCGTGTTGGCTCTCAGGTTGTGGTACATGGGAAACCAGCCCTTGACGTCGCCAGATACAGTCGAGTACTTATAGCGAGGCGCCTCCATCTTGTACGGCTCCACGTCGGTGTTGTCGGCGGGAAAGATGAGGTTTCCGGACACGGTGGAAAAGTCCACCTCCTTCTCGGCGCCGAGGGCCAGTCCCTCCTGGACAAAGACGTTGAGAGAGACGGTGCTGACGGTGAGGGCGTTGACGAGGGCCTTTTCGGGGATCCAGGCCGTGATGCGAATCTGGATGCAGACGTCGCGCCACGAAGCATTGGGGACAATACGCGGCGTGGTGACCTTGACGTGGTCGGTGCCGCCATTGTTGCTAAACTCGACAGCAATGTCCAGGTCCTTGTAGTTGGCAATAATTTCCACATCAATCTCGGCCTTGCCAGAGTCAGTCGGGCGCAGAATGACTTCGCCGTTGACGTTGGGGGTAGGACCATTTGGTTCCGTCCAGCTCTTTTTGCGCATCGTTTGTTCAATGGAGAGCACCCGGTCGGAGCTGAGACTGGCGTGGAACGTCTTCTTGGGGTACGTCTGCGGAGTATCGCGACAAGATCCGGCGGCCGGGCGCCAGACCAAGTCGCTCTCGTCCATGTCGGGGATGCGAATGGGAGACTTGTCAATGATTCGTTTCTGCGACGACTGTTAGCAAGCGGTAGTTGCCGTCATCCGAGGCTGTTCAGCGTACTCTATACGAGGGGCCAGACATGTTGAATCCCAGGAACACCAAGATGATGGAAACAACAACTAGAACGCCGAGTATCTTCTTGATCTTCTTGCGAAGAGAACCCGAGTCGTGCGAATGTCTGATGCGCTGCCAGAGGGGCTGTTTGGGGGGGTCGGAGAAGGCTTGCTGCTGGGGAGATAAGAGCTGATCGCGTTCTTCCGGGACGCCCATGGTAGGAGGTGTCGACGCGGGAAAGGTAGAGTAGCTGTGGATGTTGGGGTTATTTTCGGGCGATGAGGGTGTGTAGGCAGGGGGCGCGTCGCCTCGTGCGTTGTAGGCGTGGGTGTTGTAGTTGGAGGGTTGGTGCTGGGGGGACGTGTTGACGTGAAGCTGACGATGCTGCTGCTGCGCGGGGTCGTCCTGGACGCTGGCGTGGTGACGAGTGCTCTGCGTGTAGGGATGTGAGGACGAGGTGACTGTGCTGGGCGTGGCGATGGAGGCGCCCGAGGCGGAGGAGGGGAAGTAGGGGTTTTGGTGCGGCTGGGGAGGCGATGTGGAAGGGTTATGAGCGCCGGCGTCTCTATTTATCAGACGCTGAGCAATCTGGGCCTTGGAGTCGGGGTCCTTGGCCAGGGTGGGATCCTCGACTAAGACATTGGGTACGTAGGGTGCGCTGCCCGAGCGACGCGACACATGGGACGGCTGCTGCGACGTGGGCGAGACGGCGTCGTCGTCGTCATGGCGAAAGTACCCGTCCGAGGGGGACAGGGCTGAGGCGGCGGCCGCATCGTCGTCGCGGCCTCGGTCCGAGACGGCACGGTCTGGGTCAGAGTAGAGGTTGTCTGAATATGGGGCAGGCATCACGGCGGAGGGGGGTGACGCAAGCGTCCAGGTTGGTTTTTGCAGTGCGACGACTCCTTTGGGACCCAGATCAATGGGAAACGAAATGCTGGATGCAATTACGCCTGTGAGCGGGGAAATGCGAGGGCCATATGCAGAAGGGGGATGAAGAGGGAAAGAAAGAAGCTGCTGGGTGCGAAAGGAGTGGTGACGAGGCTGGCTACCTGTAAGAAAGTAGAATGGTGGTGGCTGCTGTTAGTGGCGACCAAGGAGATGGAATGAGTGGGATGCATTAATACTTCCTACCTACCTCTGGGTAGACATGCTCATCATTGCACCAAACCATTGCGTGCGCTGCCCTCTGGTTTGCATACAAACGCCATGAACTGGTGAGTAACAGACAAACAGAGTAACACCAGCAAGACGCTAAAGCAGCCCTCCAAGTTCAGCTCCGGGACAGCTAACCGAGAGTCTGACCGGCAGCTGGCAGCTGGCAGTTGACAGCCGGCAGCAAACACCCTTCACACCCAATACCTTATGCTTATCGCACTGCACTATCATCTACTGCAACTGACCATGACGAGTCATCACTACCTAGGTACCTACCGACGTTACGACATTCTCATCCTCACCCCAGATATCCAACCCGAAAATCACCATTATACAAAAGTTCCCAGCCTTATTCCTCACCAGCCCCGCACCCTGCTCCCACCTTCACGCTAGCCATAAGGCTGTCGTCAGCTTTTCTCATCCGCCAACGCGGCCTCCCCACCGCTTTATCCCACGGGGCAACTCCAACGCGCTTCCTGTCCTTTCATTCGTACTCGACGTACGCCTTCTTCATTCCCTTGACAATTTTGATTTATAACGAATTGGTACACAACCTCAAAACCACGTCTCCACCTGCTCATCTTATCTCCGCTTCCGTCATCCTCGGACAGACTTTCCTCCTTGACCGGCTCCGACCTCATAGCTCCTCCGGGTACCCACCCCGGCCGATCCTGTCTCGACCGAGCCACCTCCCACTACCAACAGCATCATGCATGCCACAAGCCAATACTAGTCACAACATGCATATTTTCCCTTGTATACACTTCTCAGTTCTGCACGCCCTATCCACAAGAAATCCACAAAGACATACCCCAGCCTAATTGTTTATATGTGTCTAGCAGTGTCAGGTCTGCTTTCTAGTAGTTACCCAGACAAGTCTCTCTCCCTCGAGGCCGGTCGAAGATCATGGCTTCGCCTTTGCCCCATCATCTTGAAAATATAACTCTGCAAAAAATAAGTGTCCCTCCCTGACCATGCAATGGCCGTCTGCGCTCCATTTATGCCGCAAACAAAATAAAAAACAAACATGTCCCAGAGACAACAGCTACATTGCCAGTCTCCTTTCGCTAATGCAGCCCGAGAAGCTTTTTCGAATTCTCATACACAACCCACGTTATGCTCAGCGCCGGTGCCACCTTGAGCAGGTTCGGTGCCAGGCCCTTGTACAGACCTCGCAAACCCTCTTTCTGGATCGTCTTTTGCGTCACGTCCCAGATGCCGGTATACGTCGCCCTGTGCATCGCCGTGCCTTGTGTCTGCAGTCGCGTCCGCACAACGTTGAGCGGATACACCACCGTCGCTCCAAACGCCCCAGATGTCGCTCCGATGATGCCAGTCGCCACGTTGCCAATCTCGACATCATCTTCGTGGCAGCCCGTCTCCTTGGCAAGCTTCGCACGGTACGTTTTTTTGAGAAATTCAAACGTGCTCATGTCAATCGCGCTGTACGGGAACATGCCCACCAATCCCATCGTAACACCACGATACCCTGCACGGAGACCGCCGTCCGCGTACATCTTCATGGCCGTCTGCTTCATCAACGCGACACCTTTGGGGCCACCCTCAACCGTCGAGCATTGCAGTCGGAATTTCAACGTGTCAAGAGGGTACACGCAGAATCTGTCCCTGGTCAGCACCTAGTCCGCCCTTCTCCCATCCCAGGTACTCACTGTGCAATCATGCCCGCTACGCCGCCAGCGGTGAATCTCGACAAAGTGTTGATCTTTTGCGGGTCTCCATGACCTTCGAGGTTTGCAAATGCTCTCTTGGCGGCTTCATACGAGCCGAATTTGATTGCCGTCTCGGGCATGATCTTGATTACGTTTAACCCGTTGCCTGTTCACCTCATTAGATATGTGCCACCCAAGACTTCGCGCGAGACTCTGCACTCACCAGCAAAGAAGCCGCGCAGTCCTCCCGACCGATACACATCTCTGATGGCATCACCAAATGGCCGCGCTGCGTTTTTTAGGGCAATCAGCGGCTGGCCCCTCTTGAACGCAGCCACCGCCGTTTCGCCATGGCTTTGCGTGTTCACGAGTAGATAGACCTTTAATCGGTCCAGAGGCGCGGTTGCAGTTCGCGACACACCTCCAGCAATGGCACCCGCAAGGAAGTAACCTGGATGAGGGGCAAAGTCTGTCAGTGTATATGATCTGGTGGAAACCTCGGTATTGCCATCTTCAGTCTCTTCAAGTATTGGGTTGCCATCGCTGGGGTTTCTTCTTTGTAGTTTCGCGGCAACATCTGCCCACCCCTCTGCGTCGTCATCCATCAGAACCATGATTGACTCCCCCTCGCCTATTGATGACGACGATGCTGAGGTTGCTAATGATGGTTGCGAAGCACCGTACGCTGGTGAGGTGTGGGGAGGAGGAGGCACAGGGGAGGCTATCCTGAGCAGAGAGCCAAAGAGAGAGTCAAAAAGAGATCTGGAAGTGCTTTCCGTACCTAAGCCTTCCAAGGTATCATCACTCACGACAGAGTCGCCTTCAGATGTGACAGTGACCACGGCGTCGTAATATGTTAGCACAGCTTGCAGTTTCGAGTCGGCTTCGTGAGCGGGCATGAAGAGCATGAAATATCTGTCGCAAGTCGGGTCAGTTGCAAACTTTGCTTGGGTCAGTTGCAAACTTTGCTTGGAAAATATTGTCGAAGAAAATCTTGCCATCAGAGTTTCGCGGCGGCAAAGCTTGTCTATGGGTTCGCTTAAATTTGCTGCCAGCGGCCACTGGGCAACGCCACATGACGGTCAAGCGGCAGATGACGTCGAATAAATCACAAGCACCAGTCGAAGACCACAGGGAGCAGAGAATAGAGTTTGCAAACCAAAAAGAAAGAAAAGACATACCTCCATTCCTCATATGTAATATATCCATCGTGATTGACGTCCATATCGTTGAAGAAGCAGTCGAGCTTCTTGCTAGAGACGGTTAGGCCCGCGGTTTTGAAGGCGGCCTTGAGCTCCGCCATGTCGAGTTTCCCGTTGCCATCCTTGTCAATCGCCTTGAACAGCGAAGAAAGTTCTCGTTCCGCGCGCTTGACGAAGCTTCTAAACTCTGGAGAAGGTTAGCTATTGGTCCTTGGTGGCTGGTCTAGATCGGAGGCAAGGCTGGCGTTACCTTGATATTGGATTTTGCCGTCGCCGTTGCTGTCGACCTCTTGCAGTATATTCTTGACCATCGAGTCCGCATTCTTCATAGCTGTACAAAAAAATCGAACAGGTCAGTGCTCTTCTTCTCTCTCATTGCATGAGAATTGCGCTGCGACTCACGATGGTCGAGCCGCCGGAAACCCCGCTGCAAGCCATTGTAGTCGAGCTCGCCATCGGGGCTAGGCCCCAGGCAATTCCAGAGAAGCTCAATCAAATCTTCATGGCCATGCTCAGGGTTGACGAATGCCTTTCTCGCCTCGTGGTTCCCCGTGGACACGCTCATGGTGGCGCCAGCATCGCTCGCGGCCGTCGTCTAAGAAGGGGGTGGTCGGGAGCCCTGGGGGGGTTGCTGAGGGGAGGGGGGGGGGGGAGCGATCGATCGCGTTTCGCGTTCTCGGAAGCGCAATGCTATAGCACCATGGTCGGGCGGTGTGTGGGCTTGTGTCGTTGAAAGAAACAGCCTCTGCGAAGCGCACAGAAGAAGACGGCTGCGACGTGGGCTGGTGGTAGTGATGCAGGTGGGATGCAGTGATGTAGTAATGGCAAGCCTCGGATGGCGTCGTCGAGGCTTCTTCCCTGTCTAAAAGCATGACGGTACGTAAAAAAAAAAGTCTAGGCGAAGCAAGCTATTTACTTGCTCCGCAGTAAGTGGTTGAGTGGTTAGGCAATCTGACGTCGGGAGCCTCCGTGGCACAGTGGTTCTGTGCCCGGGAGTTCTGTGTGGGTCAGCACACGGATCGCTGGTTCGAATCCAGCCGGAGGCACCCCAAACGATTTCATATCCAAAGTCGAGCAGCGCCGCCCGCCCCCGTGACTGACTCGTGAGGGGGACACGGGCGGGGTAACCACGGAGTCGGCTGGGGCAAAAGCTAGTTAGAAGTGACACACGCTGACCACTATGCCATTGGCCACCTAGCCCTTGATGTACGGAAGGACCACGTAGTCCAATTAGTGTATTTTTTATTTTTTTTTAAATACGACCTCGGGGCCTGAGAATACAGGGCGAGTCATCACGGCCAAGAGGCGTCCGCGACTGATGAAAAAGCAATTGGCTGACTAGATCAATGCCATGAGAGGTACGGATATATAGGGCTGTTTGCTACTTACTATTGGACGATAAGACTCGAGCTGCCAGTAGCCGCGGGAAAACCCGCCGGGTGGTGTCGTGAGGAGAGACATGTGTAGATCGAGAATGTGCTGCATGCTAGCATCATGTCGGTAAGCGCCCAGGGCAGGGCGGTGCGTGGCCCTGGATCCTGAGATAGTTACTGCAGATGGCCTTACATATTGACGGCGCTCTCTTTCTCGCTCGAACCGGCGTGCGTGGTGTGGCTGTCCAGCCGTCGAGCCAGCCAGAGTTTCGCCACCACCGACGCTATTACCAGCAGGACACCCCCTATCTCGGCAGGGCAGGGATCGATTGGCTGCCGTTGTACCTGGCAGGAGGGGGAGCACTGGCGCCGTGCTGCAGCGTGCGGGCGGGCCTTGCAGGGCAGATGGGACAAGGGGCCACGCGCAAAAACAATTCATCAATCACAGCCCTCTGGAAGTGGGAAGTGACAGGAATAAACCCGGGCCTGCCAGCCACTCATTGATCACCGGTTGCGCCGCCCGCCCGCCGCCTCGCTCCTCAAGGTTGAAGCCGGTTTTGGCTTTTGGCTTTCCTCCTGGGCCTGCCTCTGACGCACTCTGCTGTGGGGCAACCCCCTCCGAGGCGGGCGAGAGCGGTCAAGTGACTTCCATGTTTTTTTGGTTTTGCTTTGGAATGGAGGGAACAGCGTGCTCAGTGGACCGGCCTGCCCTGTCTGCACCCGTCCGTCGTCCCTGGAGGAGGGGGAGGGGGCCTGAGGTCTTGCTAGCGGACCAGCTGTTGTTCTTACGTACCTCATGCCAACAAGGCAGATTATCTGGCTCTTTTTTTGTTGCTCGCATAAACCATCCGGTCATGGCCCTGCTGCAGACAATTCAACTGTTATTACAGATTAGTTACCTCGTAGCGTCTCCTGCTTCTCCTGCATCAAACCACCAGCCACCTTTACGGCATAACAACGGCCCCTGCAAGCGCCTGACATGCGGCTGGCCGCCGCCGCAAAGAGCCCACGAGGACCGGTGCTGAGGAAGCTCTCCCGGTGCACTGTGTCGGCACTGTCTTTATCTGGGTTGCCCAACGGCGATGGTGGCAAGCGAGGCCTCACTTTGGGCTGTGCGAGCTTCCTGCCGCCGTGTATCGCAGCACCGCATCGGCGCACGGAGTACAGGTTCGTGTCTGCCTGCCAGCCTTCGCTCAACGACTACTAGGAGGTAGGTAGCCCAGCGTTGCCGCTAACCAGCTCGGGTCGTCCGCTGAGATTCAACTGTCAGCCTCCCCAGTCCCAGAATACCTAGTACCTAGCCACTTAGTAGCCCACAGTGTCGCCGCCACATCTCACACCGTACCATTGGGGAGCCCCACCCGGTCATCCCAGAACGGCTCTAGTCTGGTTGCAGATTAGACTCTCCCCGACATTGTCCAATAAATCGCTAGTGGCAAACATGGCGGATACGACTTCTGTGTTTCCATTCGACGCTCGCCTCCTGGTCCCACTCACGATGCCACCCTCCACCCCAGACCCCGGCAGTGCCGTGCTGCAACTCCAGTGAGCGGCTTCAGCGGATTTTGGCGCGTTGTAACGCTCTGCTCCAGGGCGAAACTCGCCTGTAAACCCTCCATCGCCAATCTGGCTTCACTAAAGTTCACAAAGCCGCCGCCTGTTGAGCCCTGCCCACCGCATTTCTTGTCTGTGCATACCTCCTCCATCTCGTCCGCCCACCCAAAAAGCACCCACCTTTTCCTTGCCCACCCAAGCCAAGCCGAAACCATCTCCCCCATCCCACCCACCCACCGCTGTCCAACCTTTCTTTTCTTCTTCCCTCCTCCTCCTCTTGCACAACACCATCCCCATCCTTCCATTCTCATCCCTTCATTCTGCATCACCTCTGTACACTTCTCTATCCTATATAGCCGCATCATCTACCACCACCATCGTATCGCTTAGACAACCGTCAACATTGCTCTCAACAAAATCCCCCCCTCGAATCAAATCAATCTGTCGTCGCCACTTACGATTCGCAACAAAACACCCCTCAACATCACAGTACCATGGCTTCTTACTACCCGTACGGCGCCATGCCGGTCCAGCCCGGCCCCGTCTCCCACAACCACCACGGCGGTCGCAATCGCAGGACCGCCCGTCTCTCCGTCTCGCAAAACTCGCAGCGCCAGTTCCGTGGCGTCCGTGGCATGAAGGAGATCAATGAGTCGGCCGCCCTCTCCGCTTTTCGCACCAAATTTGAGGCCGTCCGCTCCTTCGACCTCGAAGACGACATGGAGTTTTGCCCTGGTCTCCTTACCGAGACTGACGTGAGTAGCGACCGTTCCTCCGGCGCATCCTCCCCGGCCTTCTCTGACAAGTCCCAGCTCGTCTCCATTTCTTCGTCGGAGCGTTCTTCTCTTGCCAGCAACTCTCCAGAGTCGTCACCCACCCAGCAGCCGCAGTCTATCACTCCCGGCTTCTCTCTCAACTCTGCCTCGCCCTCCTTCGTTCCTCCTGCTCTTCAGAACCAGCATCCGACCTTCAAACTCCACCAGCCTTCAGCCAGAGGACGCAATGCCATCCCCATTATCAACCCCCTCACCGGCGTCACTATGGCCAGCCCTCCCCCGTCCGCCCCCCCTTCTGTCTCCCCCATGAGAATGCCGCAGCACCCCATGCGTCGCTGGTAAGACGCGACCGCCTCCCGCCTCGCTTACTCGCTTGACGAGTTTCCGCAGGCGGGAACTGGTGGTCGCTCTACCGCGACCCCACTTCCATTGGATGCATCCCTGTTTTCTTTGGGCGCTGTTCATCTCTTGGTAGACATTATGGAAGTGAACGAAGATACCAAATCCTCGGTATCGTTTTCATGGCTGGACTCCTCTTTCTTGCTCGAGCAAGTATTCCCCCCGCGGCGAGGACTGCGAGGCCTTGTCCGCCGATCGACTGCTGGCTCGCACTGTACAAGCAACCTTAATCGACATCCCCCCCTTTCAGTGTTTTCGTGCACGAACATTTTATACGAGGATATACCGGCGCTTTCAACGAAAATGATCGATACCATATTTGCTTTGGGTTTGTTTGATTCATCTTTTCACCTTGTCTGCCTAGACCAGGCGACTCGAGACATACACGGGCGTTTTTCACGGAAGTTTTTTTTTTGTTTTTTTTTTGCATACACAACGGCTTGCATTTGGGTCTCGAAGCGATGTCTTTGTGTTTGGCGGCATTGGCATGTTTGCGTCTGGGGCGTGACACATGCCCTACAAAAAAAGACGTGTGCGGCCTCATTACGGGAATGAGGCCTCACGGCATCAAATTTCCAAAAAGACTTTTTTAGAAAGGCGGTGTTTTATTATGACTGGCGACACGACCAGGTCATTTTATTCATGGTGTTTATCACGTGGGCAATTGTTTCTTGGGCTGGCCGCTGTCATGTAGCGCGCAACGACCATCTTGCGCGCCGGTATGGACAAGCCGAAGCGTGCTTCTTTCGAGAAAGCCTGACGACTTTGGTGTTGTTTTTCTGCGTTGCCGTATTACGGCTGCTTCTTGTCGTGCGACGATATGCTTTGGGGATGCGGCACTCATGGCCCATTCTCTGATTTCTTGTTGTACAAATGACGGCGAGCAACTTGAGAATTCTGTCCATTGTTCAATTTCGGTTCTGGACCACATTATATTACCTTATTATTTAGTATTGCCTGCCACGAGCGGGCTGGGGCGAGACTTTTGGTTTACTGGCATCTGGTGGGTGATGGGTTTCCGGTCCGGGTTTGATCTTTGCTTTCTATGTCTGTCCTTGGGCATAGGGCTAGCTTTGTGTTACTTTGTCTTGTTTTTATATCTTGGGAGCATCTGCGAGGTTTATGAATGATTTGGGCAGGGAGGTTCTATACTATCGGGCTTGTTGTCGGGACCATTGAGTTCCATGGTGTTGCAATTTGATGTGCACATATTTTGGATACGGCGCTGGTTGATACCGCGGCTTGAAAGCCTGCAGATGAATACATGACTTTACCACTCTTCAATTATCATGGACGTGTCTGCTTGTGATGGTTGTATCCTACATGCTATTACAAAGCGTCTCGACTCGGCACCGATGAGATCATCTGGCGTACTTCTGCTGTATCAAATTGAGACTGGCTTCGTGGCATATGGCCCTTGTTCCGGCATGCAACTCTATCCGCTAGTCTAACAACAGGACCCTTGATCCATCCTGTTCTATTTTCCTTGTATCGATTTAAGATGTATCCGCTTGCCGCCCAGTTCTAATCGCTCATTGCGCAACGGAGAACATGTCCCGATGTTGCTGTCATGCTGACGTCACAACACAGCTTGCCAGCTGTGATGCTTAGAAACGGGCTTTTAGCAATTGGGTTCCTCTTCTTGTCAATATTCCAAACTTGTCATCTCCTTCTTCCTCCTACATTCAACGCCAATTCTACAACACGCCATCCAGCGCCAAATCATTTCCTGTAGGAGCCCACCGGTCAACCTGCCTCACCCAATTGACCTGGTACTAACAAGACGGCTACCAAAAGAAAAGCAGACAAAAATAAGGAAAAACAAAAAAACATGTTTGCCTCCAAGACGATTCTTCCTCGCGTGGCCCGCTGTGCCGCGCTGCCGGCCACCGCCGCGCGCATGCCCTTTTCCTCCTCGCGCGTGCTCTCCCACAAAGAATCCAGCTCGAGTACGTCCAAACCTTCCAAAAAAAAAAAAAAAAAAAAAGAAAAGAAACTAACCCCAGTCAGACACAGACGACGACGTCGACAAGCACAAGCTCGACTCGCTCCGCAAGCACAAGGATGGCGCCGGGCACTGGAAGCGCGAGCTCGCGTCGGACAGCGAGGAGGCCGTCAAGGCCGACAAGGGCCACGGCGCGGCGGCCACGGAGTCGGTGCAGGAGCTGCAGGAGCGGACTAAGAAAATGGCGGAGGAGTCTAGGAAGAGTGGGACGAGTAGTAATGATGGCATGTAGACGGTATTGACATGTGCTTTCTCTACTTGTCATTGTGTGGTTGCTTATTCGACTTGGAGCCATCAGCTCTGTGCTGTCAGAGTAGAGCAAGAGAAGGGCAACATGTTCACCACCATGCCACCTCCACCACATTGCCATTACATCTTCTCACGGCCCCAAAATAAAAGATCAAGTTCATTCATGTACCATTCCACTCACTTGCAGTGAAATTTTCATCTTGTCGTGTACTGGAAAGCTGCCACAGAAAATGTGAAATTACGTACAGGGTAGCGCGGTTACCGAGGTGTACTCCGTTGGCTCGGCCGGCTGCCAACCCCGCGATATCGATAAGCCCCAACAAGTTCCTTTGCCCAATTTCCATCTTCCCGACTTCACACAAAACCGCGATGCTGTAACAGAAAACGCCTCCGCAAGCGACATTTTCTCCTACCCGGCCCATTGGGCCCCTCCCGTTTCTCTCTCTCCTATTTTCGCAAACGATCGGTCTCCTCGAACAACAAATCCCCCCCCCTCACAAAACGAACCATGACGAGCCCAGAAACGCCGTTTCGCACCGCGCTCCTCGCCGGCGCCATCGCCGGCACCACCGTCGACCTCTCCCTGTTCCCGCTCGACACGCTCAAGACGCGGCTCCAGTCAGCCGGGGGCTTCTTCGCCTCGGGCGGCTTCGCGGGCATCTACCGGGGGATCGGGTCCGCGGTCGTGGGGTCCGCGCCGGGCGCCGCCTTCTTCTTCTGCACGTACGAGTCGGTCAAGGGCGTGCTGGCGCCGCGCGTGCGGCACGATGTGCTGACGCAGATGGCGGCGGCCAGCTGCGGCGAGGTGGCCGCGTGCGCGGTGCGCGTGCCGACCGAGATCGTCAAGCAGCGCGCGCAGGCCGGCCAGCACGGGGGCTCGTCGGCGCGCGCGCTGCGCGCCATCCTCGCCGGCGGCAGCGGCGGCGGTAGCGGCCCCCGACTACTCGCCGTCTGGAGGGAGCTCTACCGCGGCTGGGGCATCACCGTCTTCCGCGAGGTGCCTTTTACCGTCATCCAGTTTCCGCTCTGGGAGGCCATGAAGGCCTGGCGGAAGCGCGCCACGGGACGCCCGCAGGTGAGCGCCACCGAGAGCGGCCTGTTTGGGAGCGTGGCTGGTGCCGTCGCCGCCGCGTCGACGACGCCGCTCGACGTGCTCAAGACGAGGGTCATGCTCTCGCCGGAGAGGGTCTCGGTGGCGACGGTGTTTCGGCGCCTGGCGCGGGAGGAGGGCATCAGGCCGTTCTTCGCCGGCGTCGCGCCTAGAGTGACGTGGATCTCGATAGGCGGCGCCATCTTCTTGGGGAGCTACCAGTGGGTGGTGAATACAATGGGCATGCCGCCGTAAGGAATCTTCAGACGGGCATGTGTCGGTCTGCGAGACGTGATTTTTTTGCATTATAGAAAATTGTACTTCACCAAAAGTGGAAATGGCAGTGTACATATAGAACGGAACCACAATAAGGAATGGCATCATCATATTATTCAACGAGCGCGCTAAATAGCAGTAGTTGATGGCAAGATATATAAGAACAAATCAACAGCACCGTGGGGCTGTAGTAAAGTGGTACAAAGAGTCTGCTGGGTATCCCTGACTCAAAGCGATTGCGCACAAATCCAAAAAAAAACAGGTAAACACTAATGCGAGTGTTCACGCCGCGACGGCAGTCGCGGGGCTTGCTGGTATTTCTTCTGGCGCCTGCTGCGGCTCGGGCTGCTGCTCGGGCTCGGGCACGGGCATTGGGCGCAGCTTCCTGCGTCCGTTGGTTTTGTAGTAAAGGACGACGTCGTTGCCGCCCTTCCAGATATGCGTGCGCAGAGTGGCCAGGGTCAGCGTTGGCTCCAAGAGCTGCTCGTTACAGTACAGCTCGAGGTACTCCTCGGGCTCCATCTGAGAGTCTGCGTCCTCATCGGCGCCGGGCGCCGGCTCAATGCGCTCGGCCACATAACCCAGGATCTTCTTGACGCGCAACATCCTGTTGGCATTAAGGCGGCTGCTGCCATCGGTCGCAATGATCGGCAGACCATCTAGCGGGTGTAGTACAAAGGAAATCTTAACGGGTTCCTTGAAGGGAACCTGGTTTTGTAGAAGAAGGTCGCCGAGCCACATGGGAGCCTTTTGCTCGATAATGTCGGCGTCGCGGCCGACGCTCTCGACAGTGCCCTGGTACACGTTGGAGCTTCCGCCTGAAGTCTCCTCCTGAATGATGACCTTGGTGCCAGGCGGCAATTTTAGCACTGGTGTATCGGCAGGTAGACTTGGGGTGACGCGCGTCTCGACCAGCTTGTCTGGCGACTCAGTGAGCTGTCTGTCATATTCGTTGCGAATCTTTTGAATAATGCCATAGAAGCTGTCGTCGACTTCCTTTTCGTGGCTAGAAGAGGTTTCTGATTCGACAGCCTTTTCATCCACGACGACAGGTTTCTCTTGGGTGGCCTGCGAGCCCGAGCGTCCCAGTTTCTTGGTGCTAAAAGACATGCGGAACTTTTTGCCAAACGGCGTGCTGGGCGACTTGGCACCTTCTGTTGGCTTTTCCTTCTCTTTCAGCTTCTCGGTATTGTCGCTTGAAGTCTTGCCTTCGGCAGCTTCGGGGGCGGAGGCCGGGGCCGGGGCCGGGGTCGGGACTGGGGTTTTGACAGCAGCCGGGTTTTCAACAGGAGAAATACCAGCAGTAAAGTAGTCGCCTTTGTCAGCAGAGGGCCGGCCGGCCTGCGAAGTGCTGCTCGATTCGACAGCTACGGCAGGCGTGCCAACTATGCCAATGCCAGGTGTCATGGCAGGCTGTAAACCATCAGCGCGAGGAGTAGCCGGATCATCCATCACTGCAAGTGAAGCTAGCCCAGGAGACAGGGCTGGTGCACTGGACACAGCGGCGGCAATTCTCTTTTCCACCTCCTCATTAATCTTATGGCGATAGGCCTCATCTCGTTTGATTTCCTCGTCAACGAGGTTGGCAAACAGATAGCGCAGGATCCATCGTCCGAGACTAATTCTCTGATCTTCCCGGAACTCAATCTTATCCTCGAGCTCCAGCTCATCGCCGTAGACTTCTGCGTCGAAGCAGTTGTATGGCTCTAAAATCACTGTAAGATTACCCGAGCTAAGGTCGACCGAGCACCAAGGAGCAACGGCCGCTCTTGTGTTTAGCACGTCTGCGACATCCTCCAAATGTTGCTTCCCAAAGCTTTGGACAGGTTTGCACTAGATGAGTTAGCTAAAGGGCTCAGGAAATACAAATATTACCATACCTGTATCAGATCCCAGAGTAGCACGTCGCCGGCCGTGTCCAAGGTCAGCACCCGTTTCCTGTCGTTGAGAAGTTTGTGCTTCAAGAGACCAAATTGACCTTCAATAGTCTCTTCAGGTGTGTTGAAGATGGTTTTAATCTCTGGCTCAGGCTCTGTTGCCGGAATGATTGAGGGTCTTCGCGAAGGACCATCGTTGATAGCCTCTCCGTCCGTGTTTGACCTGGGCAGGTACATGCCCATATTTGATAATTTGAGGATTGACTGCGGGTTTATTTCCTTTTTGGGGCCGTCGGTGGTGGAAGGTGATGTTTGACGTGCTTTGCTTGACATGGCGGAAACAGCTCGTCGGTGTCGGTGGTCCTGTGGCAAATCCATCTCCTGCTCTACGTCAAAATCGCTCCAGCGGTTGATGGATGACCTGTTGGTTGCTGTCCAAAAGTGACCATGGGCGGCCACAAGCTTAGACACGCCGATATGCTCTTGGGCGAGAGCCAAGCTCAATCCATTGTCGACCTCGTCGAAGCTGCCGCGGATGTCGGTCTTGGCCACCATACCATTGCGATCGGAGCTGTAAAAGATGCCAAGGCGTGGGTCGTTTGAAAAGAGGGACCAAACACTCTCATCGTGCATGTTAAACGTGTACATGCAACGCCCACCGCGGACGCTCCAGAGCTTGATTGTTTTGTCTGCACTAGCACTGAGGATGGTGTCGTCGGCGTCGTCAATGAGAAGGGAGCGAATATTTCCAAGGTGTCCCATGAGCTTGGAAACCTCGGCACCTGAGCGCGGGTCGTGAAGGCGAATCGTCTTTTCCGGTCCGCCACTGGCGACGATGCTGCGGCCAAGCGCAAGGGAATAGACGGACCCCTTTTCCGGGATTTCCTCGCCCTTGACGTCGATTTCCAACGACTTTCCCTTGCCGTTGAGATCCCACCAGCAGATCTTGCGGTCTAAGCCTGCAGCAACAATGGTATTTGAGGTGGTGTCGGTGGTGGAGGCAACGACACACTTGACGTAGTCGGCGTGCTCGCCAATGGTGTGCGCAGTGCTGTTCTCTTCCGAATGTGGACGCCACACCTTGACCGAAAGATCGGAGGATCCGGACACAACCACCGTGTTGTTCTGCGCAAGAGCAATATCGTTGATCCAGTGCATGTGCGCCTGCGTCTGGGCGCGAAACGTGGAAGCAGTGGTTGGGGAGGGCTCGGTCGACAGGTTGAGGTCCCAGGCGCAGACGATGCCGTCTCGGCCACCAGAATAGCTGTGATTAAGGTCAGAGGGGAGCTCCCAGACGAGTATTGTGTCGAGGGTCGTGTGCGTACAGTATGCCATTGGTGGAGTCTACAGCCAGCCCGTTGACGCCGAGTCGATGTCCGCCGGCCGAAGACTTGCCATTTTCCAGAACTGCCCAGTTGGTTAGCGACGAGAGAAATATGGGAAGACGAGACCAGGGACTGCTCTTGCGCAGCGAGGAGAGGTAGGACGAGAGTGTGCGCGTTGGGTGCGGAGAGCACGAGACGTGGTTGCGGAGGGCGGGCTTACCATAGCTGATTCTTTGACGGGCCTTTTTGGCCATGGCCATGATGACGCGGTTGCGACGATGCTTCGCGGGGACACGAGAAGAGGCACGAGAAACCGGGATGTCAAACCATGGAGAGCCGGGAATTTGGGATGAGCAAGGTGAGAGGTATTATGGGAGCGCAGGGCAGAGTGAGGCGCCGGCGTGGCATGGCTTGCCTGGAGTTGGCTGCAAGGTCCAGATAGCGGGCTAGTGAGGCAGTTAGGTTTGGAGGCATACCTAGGTACTAAGGCGCAGGCCACGCCACGATGGGCCCAAACTGGGGGGAACCTTGGAGGGATTTGGGGGGGGACGAACTGGAGAAGAGCACTGGAGGTCCAATTGGTAAATTGGTGGTGGAGGAGGAGCCAAGTGGGGGGAGAGGTGTTTTAGAGGGTTTAGAGGGTTTAGAGGGCATCATATAGACATTTTAGTGGCATCCCGTCGCCAAAGCGCCCCAAACTACAGCGCAGTCACCAGTCACCCGATGGCCCTGACAGCCACCAACCCACTCCCCAACGTGGCCCAAACCCACAGACTGCGGGTTGGCTGACATCTGCAGGGTTATGTACCTACAAACCCCACTATAGGTACCTACCAGAGGGGGGGTGTTTTCTAATATAGGTCCACACACAGTGTGTAAAGCGAGGTATCTACAAACGCACAGGCTTACCACAGGGGTGTTTTATATACTAGAAAAATATTATATATTAATTATAAGACATCTTAGAACTATTATAAATTATCTTAATTATATCTAGATATATTATAATTAAGATATATAGTATAGAATAGGTATTAAGAAAATTTACTATATAGGTTAATATATATTAGTTAGGTAAGATATCTTAATATATAGGCTATATTAGAATATATAGGCTATTAGAATATATATTTATTAAAAATACTATATCTAGGTTTTAGTAGCTATATAATATATAAAATATTTTATATAGTACTATATTTACTAAAATTAATATAGTGCCTTTATAGTATAGTAGTTCTATAGTAGGGAGTTCTATATAGGTTAGTATATAGATTGTTAGTTTAAATCTAGCTAGAGGTACCCTAAATAATTTCTTTCTAAAAGTTAAGTAGTATAGCCTAGCCCTATAACTAACTTATAAGGGGGATATAGGTAAGGTAACTATAGAGTAGGTTAGGGGTAAAAGGCTAAGAAGGTATATACTAACTACTATACTAAATTAGCCCTTATAGTATAATAAGGCTAAAAACTATATAAATACTATAGTATATAACCTTATAAAAGGTATTAATAATAAAGGACTATTCTACTACTTAGATATATATATAGAGGTAAGTAAAATTAATATACCTAAATAGTTAATAATTAATAGAAAATATAGAAGGATATAGATTAAGGTAGTAGCCTAAGAACCTACTTACTAAGAAATACTAAATACTATTAAACCTACTAGGAATTATTATATAATAGTAGATTAGTATATAGGAGAGGCTAGTTTTTACCTAGGTAGCCCTAGGTCTATACCTAGTATAGTAAGGTACTAATATAAAGGATTTACTACTATAGTTTTTCTAGTACTTATAAGTTTATTAAGATACTAAAAGAACTATAAGGTTTAATTAAAGTAATTTAATAAATAAAATTAATATAGCTAGTATATATTAGTATATTAAAAAGAGAGGTATATAATTTATAGGAAACTCTTATATTATAGTTATATTTAGTACTTAATTAGGTTTACTAATATAGAATATCTAGTAATTAACCTACTTCTCTTAGTTACTATATATATTCCTAGTATATTATATTATCTAGCTTTCTTATATATTACTTTAGTATCTTTTTAAAAAACTCTTCTTAAAGCTTATTTAATATTAAAACTAGCCTAGCTACTAATACTACTTAGATTTATATAGTATATAGATTTATTATAAGAATTATATAGATATATAGGCTAATAGTAAAGAGAAGTAAAACTTTATTAACTATAAGGTATACTAATAAAATATTAATAGTATAGAAGGTATAAAGAGAAAGAAATATTAAGATATACCTTTTAACTAATATAGGATTAGGTTACCCTCTTTATAATCTTTATACTAGTAGTAAAAAATATTAATATTTAAAACTTATTATAGTACCTTTTTAAAGTTATCTTAAGAACTTTTATTAAGGTTTATAAATAAAATAAATTAGTTAGTTTTATTACTTAATTTTAAATATATTATAATATACTAGAGATCTTTATAATATATATAGATAATATAGTAAGAATAAGGTAAGAGGTAGAGTAAGGTAGAATAAGATAAGAGGTAAGAGAGGTAGTATAAGATAAGAGAGAAAGGTAGAGTAAGATAAGAGGTAAGAAAGGTAGTATAAGATAAGAGGTAAGAAAGGTAGTATAAGATAAGAGAGTAAGGTAAAGTAAGATAAGAGAGTAAAAAGTAAAGTAAGAAAGGTAGTATAAGATAAGAGAGTATATATTAATAGGGACTAAGCTTTAAAGTGCCTAATCTAAAGATAGTTACTTATCTTTAATATAGAAAATATATCTTACTATATATAAGTTAAGATAGACCTATATAGAGTTACTAGGTAGGTAAGTATATAGTATATATTAAGAGTAATAGTATACCTATATAAAATAAACTAAGGTATTAATATATATATCCTACCTAGCTAATACTAGATTATATATAGAAGTAAAGGGAAACTATACTTACTATTTATTAATTATAAAGTAAACTATAATAGTCTAACTAACCTTCTTCTAAGTATTAAGTAATATATACCTAGAATATAAGTATCTTAATAAAATACCTAGATTATTTCCTACCTATTAGTAAAGATATATAGTTTCTTAGTATTAAATAGGGATACTTTCCTTTCTAACTTTTAATTCTAAAGTAAAGTACCTTAACTAGTATTAAATATAATATTTAATAGCTACTTTTACTAAGTACTAAGTAAAAAAAGGAAAGCTTATAATTATTAGGATACTCCTATTTATATATATTAGAAATATAATTAGTTAGTTATTATTATTTATATAGAATATTTACTAGTAATAGCTAAAGATTATATACTAACTTACCTTATAGTAATCTAAGCCTTTATAGTAGTTAAAACTTCTTAAACTATAGTAAGCCTACTTTTATTTACCTTAAAATAGAAAAGTCTTACTAGAATTTAATCCTAGCTTATTTAAGGTATATAAGCTCTAAGTAAGGATTAGATATCTAGAAAGCTAAGTATTAAATTCTATTTTATTTAAGTAATATATCTTTTTTTTATTTTAAATTATTATTAACTTATATAAAAGTATATAGGTTAAAATTAAAAGTAGTTAATAAAGCCTAGTATATATATTAGTAATTATTTTAATATTAATAATATTAAGTAAGACTTATCTAATAGTAGGATACTTAGGAGCTTTAATAGAACTAATATTATAATATTTAAGATTAAAATAGATAGGTAACTAGTATTAAGTAGGTATTATAGATAAGCTAGTTAATTTATATAGTTAATACTCTTAAGAGAGTTCTTTTATACCTCTTATTATTAAAATACTAGATTAGGTTAACTTTATTTAAGAAGATAATACCTATAAAGCTTATAAACTAGAAAGAGAAGATATACTAGGATATAAGATAGGTAATATTATAAGATACTAGCTTTAATAGAGCTACTCTATAAGTAACGTTTTCCTTAGTAGCTATATATTAGTAACTACCTTAAAAGACTAAATACTAAAGAAAAGGGATAGTAAGAATATCTTATTAAGATAAGTATAGTAATATTAAAGTAGATAGAAGCTATAGTAACTATATTATAAAAATAAAGGTTAAAGTTATTCTAAGCTTTAAATACTTATATAGGATAGTTTAACTACCCTCTAGCCTAGCTAAAAATTTTTTTTATAGCTAATAAGTTCTTTATTTATTATAGCTACTATATATAAGATATATACTAGGCTACTAGTAATTAATACTAGGATATAAAATAGCTATACTTATATATTATAATATATACTACTAATTTCTACTTTAAAGAGTTAATTTAAATTAGGAATTAGATTCTAGGTTTAATTTCTATAATATAGGAAAGTTATATTATAAAAATAAATATCTAGAGTTTAAATATACTATTTTATCTTAAAATAATTATACTTAGTAGCTTATATATTAGTCCTATAAAAATATATAAAGAGTACTATTTCTTTATAGTTTTATATATTATTATACTAGAAATAAAAGTAAAGTTACCTTAGATTCTTTTAGATTAATTTTTAATACCTCCTTTCTATATAAAGCTAGATAAAGTAGACCTTAGTAGGAATTAAGAGTAGTTACTTATTAAAATATAGTACTATCTAGACTTTCTTTATAAATATATTAAGTAGTTTAATAATTCTTCTTTTCTTATTCTTTTTATAGATAGGTAACTTTAAAATATTCTCTTTATCCTTATAAGGATTAAGAAATATTAAATTAATATAAAAGAAAGTATACTTTAAGGCTAGGTAGTAGTAAATAAAAATACTAAGAATATAAGTAAGCTATTATCCTTAGAAGCTAAGCTTAATAGTATTACTAATATTAAATATAATATATAATAAAGAGCTTTAAATTAAATATTAGTAAAGAAATTAATAAAAGAAAATAGAGAATAAAATAGTCTAGGCTACTTATACTATTATAAAGGAAATTTTATTATACTAATATATACTATATTTTCCTAAGTTAAAGAGTAAATAGATATTATATATCTTAAGGTATATATAATATAGCTTTAATATAGCCTAATAATCCCTAGTAAGGAGCCTAGAGTCTTATAAGCTAAGTATATTTATTTTACTTTCTTTATATAGAAGGTATTAAATATAATAGGAAGCTATTATATTATAGTATTCTTAGCTATCTTTAATATTATTATACTCCTTATTATTTTTTACTATTTTATCTAATTATAGATTTAATACTTTAGTAAGCTATAAGCACTTTTTCTAGATTATATTAAATATCTCTTATATTAC